GAGCTCTCACCGCGTAACTCGCATGTACATTCGACAAAATGCAATCCTTGCAAAGAGAACGTGACGAGGAACAACACGTCGAAACTGTCGGTCGCAACGAGCAGACAACGGTGATCGCTAAAACTACAGTCCCTAGCCAGATTATCAGACGCACCTTCATTTTTTACATTTCATTGACTTCCGAAGACCGGCTTTATAATAATACGACTCTATCCATCGATCGAATTATATGAAGGAACTATTATTCTAAAATTTTATTATAAAATATATTTTTTTGTGACGTTATTTTACTTGGCTGTTACAATGAACAAGTATGAACCCGCGCTAGTTGCATTGTTGATAATAACTGGAACAGACGTTTTGTGTGTGTGTGTGTGTGTGTATCAATTGAAATTTAGTTTTACTTTTATTTATTTATGCCTTGAAGCTTCAAATTCCCTGCTTACTGACATAAAAAGAAATTTCCGCGTGAAAAATATTCATATTGTTTACAATAATTATGAGCAAAACAAGTGATTTGACATCTCAAGGAAGGTTGCAGAGGTAAAAGCACTGACTGACACCGAAAATTATTCTAATCGCGTAAATATAAAATGAGTAGCCTTTCTTTTCCTCCTAATCTGTGTTTTATTAAAAAATCAAAGTGTGTCTGATAATATGGCCAGTGACTATACGAGAGACACCCGTCTCACTGCTGATCACGCTTTTCGATGGCTGATGGAGGAAAACGGAGGTTGAGGAACTTGCTTCCTCGTTCGTCGCCCAGGTACACCAAGTCTGAGCGGATGAAGAAGAGAGGGTTGAGAGGGAATGCACAGTGTGGGTGGATGTAACGTGAATGAAAGCAGAGAGGTGAAAAGGGGCAACGAGAGGGAATGAAGAGTGAATGTGTATGTGTGTGCGTGAGAGAAAGAGAGAAAGAGAGAGGAGAGAAATTGTACGTGTATGTCGGTGGGAGGGAGAGATGCAGATGCCTGGCTGCTGTGGATCGATAGAACGGAGCTGCGTGATGGTCGTCTTTCTACATGGATAACCGATAAATGCCGGGAATCGCTGTGAATGAGAAACAGGCAGTCCCGCTTGATGAAGGCAGTCGGAGGAGGAAATTGCAAGTATGCAAGTTACGCCACCTGACTGCCACCACATCGATTGCCGAATGGCCGATGTCTCGAATCGGGCGAATCACGAACGGGGTATAAATACCTCACGGGATAACGCGCGTGTTAAGATGACAAATGAAAATCGCGATACATTCGATCGGGAATTGTGCACATCTCACACTGCACACGCGTATGCACGTGTGTGATGTGTGAAAAAATGATACGCTTATTTTTTTACAATTTATTTACGGTCATCCTGCGATAGCTTCCTACTCGATTTTTAGTTAGCGAAAATTTTACATGGCGAGCCGCCAGTCGTGGCGACTGTTTACGCGACGTTAAATTCAATAAGCCAAGGCTGGCGTTTCCTCAAGGATTTAAATTGAACTGTGTACTTTACGCTTTTACAAAATATTGTATCGAGAAACTATAAGCGTATCAAATGTTGAAAAATTAAACGTTCGCGATAAAAAAAAGGAATCTCCGTCTCTTTCTCTCTCTCTCTCTCTCTTTTTCCCCTGCGACATTTTTGCGATAAAGAAAGATTGACACATTCGATAACTTCGAAAGATCGTTGAGAGACATGTGGCTTCCGACGTAAAATGGAAACCACGAAACACGATATATACGAACGGAATCATGATTTCCTCCTCTTCACGGTACCTATCCATTAACCTTCGCTGAGAATGATATTTCAATTAGAAATACGTCGACCGGCTTTGTGCGCGGAAAATCGATAGATGTGCCGAGAATCAGTGTGAATGGCATATGCAGACTCCGCGATGAATACAGTCGGAGGAAATCGCACGTATATTGAGGTGAATCGCGCAATAACAATAGAACTCTGATGCTGCTGAATATACAAAAGTAATATACGTAGAATTCCGCCAGAACGTCCATTAACGTGACGCTTAAAATTAACAGCCATTAATGTAGAGATTGATGAAAAAAGGGACCGAGTCAAACCGACGGACATTATTACTCGCTTCTGGGCGGAAGTGCTCCATGAATTCGAAATAAGTTGCTTTCGCACTTTGACCTTTACCGAAACACATTTCAGCTAGATAACGCGTCTCCGAAAAATCGGAGTCTGCCTTTCTTTCCGAGCATTCCACGTAGAAAAAAACATTTATAAGCCTCTCATGTTATACTTCGTCTTTCTTCGGATCTTTCGGTTAAAAAAAAAATGCTTAACCGCAAAATCCAATTTCAATTTTCGGCCGAGACACGGCCTTGGCAGAGCGGAATTTGATCGCGCCGAAAATGATCCGAATGAATCGGGAGAGAAACAAGATAAGCCTAAAATCTTTTTCGCCGGGGAACACACGGTCACGCGAGAATCCTTGACCTTCGCACACACGACGTTTTGTTAATCGACCCTAACTCGTGATTTTGCGTCGAGATCGCGTCAAGAAGCACGCAAGCCGCATCGATCGCCCACGCTCTCTACCTGCATGGCGAAGGGGTTGCGAGAACGAGTACGGTAACATTGCTCATTACATGCTGTATCGCGGAAGAGATTGATTTTGCTTATTATTATTTAACCCTTCGGCTCTCGGTGTCGCATAGCCGCAGTCGGAATTTATATCCCTCTTGAAAAATTGTGTGTGTGTGTGTGTGTGTGTGTGTGTGTAAACTCCGTTGCTGATGGTTCCGCAAACGTGTAGCTACGCGTTACGTCGGGCATCGGATCAATAAAATCGATTTAATTAAATTTCTCACGCGTACCCACCGAGTGTTACGCCTTATGCTCTCATTTATTCATTACTGTTACTATCATCTTTATTGTCATTATTAAAAAAAAAAAGTATGGTGTTCACTCAGTCATATTTTATAATCGTACATCATATTCATTTTCGTATTTTATATATATACTCGATTTTTATATTCGTATTTTATATTCATTTTTGTGATTCCGTCATAACGACAGATCACTAATTTGACACGTTGTTCCCGCTTTTTCGAGCAATAAATAATAAATCAATAACGCATATATTGTTGGAGGATTCATAAATAGTTGGCATTGCGTGCGACGACTGTTCTGCCGATTAATATAAAAGTTGCCTTACAGTCACAACGTCGAGGCCTATATAACATACGACTACGTAATCCTTGTGACATTGAGACAAACAAAAAGGACGAAGTTTTGTTTTCGATACCTAACTTTTTGAACGTACAAAAATAGCTTTGTGAGCTATACCACGGATATAAATACACCACGAATGTATTCACGCGATGTGACAATCCGGAATACAGGAATTAACCTGTTAACTGGGCATGACAAAATATTTCGTCATACACGAACTACTGCTGCAATGGGCATGACGATGTTTTTCGTCATGGAAATTTGCCGGAGTATTTTGAACGCAAACAAAAAAAAAATTTATTCCCCGGTTAACAACAGAAAAGAGTGGCAAAGTGGCGCGTGTGGGAACGGTGTGCGCACCAGCGAACTTCGGACACCTCGCGTGTCATTCTCCAGGTATCTATCAGATGCGTGATAAAAAATGCGTAAACATGCCCGTTACGCTCGCAACGTAAAGGCGTAAAGTAACAGCGCGTCTCGCACGAGGTGCTTCCGTAATATCGGGCCTCTGTCTCGAGGTAAAATTAACCCCCTTTCCTCAGTGCGCATGTCGATTCACGAGAGCTGTCACACACATACGTCGTGAATATGACGCGTTATTAATAAAAGCCTCATTAATAGCGGCTGAACGAAAATAGAGCCACAGGAAGAAAGGCTTTCTCACGTCGGCTGGCGCCGACGAGAAACGGACGGACGGACAGACGGAGAGTGCACGACGCGGCTCGGTGTGAATCGACACTCGCGATTTCGGACAAAACAAAGTGGCAATGTGTGTATCGGCGAGGGATTCGGCACTTACTTACTTGGCGGCAGCGACGTGTCCTCCTAGCTGGCAGGATAACGCGGAGTCGTCGCTGTCGTTGTCACCGACGTTCGCCTCTTCTGCTGGGTGCTGGTACGCCACGGCATGGCTCCGCTTGTCGCCGGTTCTCCGCGGATTCGGGACGAGCTTGTACATGGACGACACTCACGAGGACGCGACGCACCGCCGCCGTTGACGACCGGTCGGCATCGCCGTCCGCGGACCGACGGCGACGCAATCCGGATATCCCCGCACTCTCTCTCCGGAGGAAAACTCACCGATCGACGACGATCGGACACGCGCGCGCTGTCACCCCGCGTCCACGGAACCGATGGATGACGATCCGTCACTCTGTCAACTTGTCGTGCGAGCACCGCGACGCAACTTACGCGTACGGCCGCGTGAGAACACCTGGCGCCCTCCGGCCGCCGACCGCCGCCATTGCGCGCCTACCGACACAGCGCCGCTACTGCCATCCGCCGGCGCGAGCGAGCACTAACACGGCGGTAGCGTCTCTTCGTCTCGTTCAAAGGCCATCGTCGTAACGGTTTCTTCGACGATGTCCGTAAATTGCATGTCCGAATCGCGAGCCAACCGACGATGAACGGCGTGATGGACGAAGACGACGATGCGATGGACGCGACTTATGCCGGAATATCGGACGACCTTCCGAATTCGATCCGATGCTGCCGAGACGTTATCTCAAACGGCAGTTGAGACTCCCCGACCGCCATTGTTATTCTCGGATCTTCGCCCCGACGATGGCCCGTTTCGTCGGATATTCGCTCTCGGCGGTTACTTTGCCGCATTTTGCTACGAGACACTCGCGATATTTTCAATGGTAATTTACAGGCCGGATTCATTTTCGACGGCCTTTCGGTAGCTCAAGATCGAGATTTCGACTACCGACGATCCGATCCGCGAAATACCCGTTCGGCAATTGACTGTGTTTAACGACACGTCGTTACAGCAAAGATGTGGGACTTACTTTCAGCATTCCTGGCGACGAGAATCCGCGCGCGTTATTCATTTCGGCCGGAACGGCTTCTCTCGAATGCGCACCGTCCCGCGGCGACCCGCTTCTAATGGCCGCTGGTGACTGCGATTCTCGAAGTCGCGCGATATCGATATTCTCGAATCGACGCACACAAGCGCTCGAGGTATCGATCCTGATCGCCGTGGTGGAATTATTTATCGAAGACATTGTTTGTAGGTGAGTTGACACATTGATAGAGGAGAACACTGCTGCAAAGAGTATCTACTAGAATATATGTATTTTTTGTTACTTCCGGTAATTTCCCTCCTTTTCGCTTTTCGAGAACGTCATATGCTTATATGTATGCGCTTATATAAGACTTTATTCCCCATTTCGGTCGCAAATGTGCGATTGTCTACGAAAGAGACGTACTCCTTTACATCGATTATACATAATAATTCTCACAATGTCGCAAATTACATGTCACTCGTGTGTAAAACACTAAATTAATTCATGATAAAACTTACTTGTATTCTACAGGCGGAAAAAAACCATCTTTATATTAGTAAATACATTGAATTGTGTGAGTTAAACTTATTAATCAAACAATAGAATCGTGTATGCGCGCATTCGAGGGATTCAATTTGTCGAGCAACTTCTCCCTTTCAATCGCTTAATTGTCAATTACCGACGCTGCGTGAAGCTGTCGACGCAGAATATCCCGCAAGACCGTTTATATAAACAGCTTTCCGTTTTCGCTCGAGTATTCCTCTATGTGTATCAAATGATTATAAAGTGGTTCGGCAAAACTTTCGTAAAAGTCTCGTTAAGGCACTTTTAAGACATTCGACGGACATTATTTCTCCTTCTTCGGCTCGTTGTCCACCTCGATCAATTTCTTGCCCTCTTTTTCACCGTTACTTTTCTCTTTGTTGTCTTTATTTTTAGATTTCTCCTGCTTATCCTCCTCCTCCTCCTCGAACAATTTCTCGGAGTCCAGTTCCTCCGCGTGCTTCTTCAACTCCTCGTCCAGCAAGCTATCCCAGTCGGACATGTCCTTGCCTTCCTGAACTCTCTGCAGCTCACGCTTCAGCATGTCCAGGCATTCCCTTCGTTCCTTCCACTTCTCCGACATTTCGAGGCTCTTTTTCCCGTCGTCGATCTGGTCCAACATTTCCGCCTTTTCCTTCTCCTCGCACTCGAACACGTACTTCTCGTAGCTGTCCACCTGAACGATAATAAATTCCAAATAATCGATTGTTCTCTTTCATAAAGCCATTCCCATAAGTCTGTTAAAATTATAAATTTGTTCTTTTTAGCTGGACTAAGTTGCACTTTCCGCCTTTGGAGCGAAACGACTGTATAACTGAGCGCTAAAAAAAAAGGTAAAGTTCTTGTGCAGCACTAAAAAGGACAGGTCTGGACAGCACAAAAATATTCTATGAATGTTCTACGAATATTTGTTACGAATAATTGTACATTCATAGAATATATTAAAACCCTGTCATATGATCATATAGTATGCTCTTAGTATATTCGAATGACATTACTATAAATGTTCTAGAAATGCGCATAGAATATTTCATTGAATGTTGTAGGCGGGTGAAGGCGTGGGGAGTTCCTGAGACATACGAAAGTTCTACGCGAGCACACGCAGATCTCCGTTTCCAATTAAGTACATATGCCAAAGGTATATGCATATATAGGATTGGCTACTTTCCAGTTAGATCAATGCATTGCACATGCGCAGTAAATGAACTTTATGAATGTTCTAAGAACATTCTTTTCTACGATGAATATATTCATTAAGCGAGAAATCATTAACACAACGTCATTACAATGACATTTTATGACACGTAACACGTTTTCAAATATGTAATTCTTAATATTATATACAACGTCATTGTTGACGATATTTGACTCATATTTCTGCACTATGATTTTAATATTTAGGAATATTATATCATCGAGTAACAGTTTAAAAACATTTGTAAAATATCATCTCGTGATGTTTGCGAAATCCATATAAAATCAATTCAATTTCAGAAGATTGATTTAATGTTTCTTGTTTACTATGTATGAGTAGGAATCTCTGTTTACAATATTATACGTATATTCATGGAATATTCGATTCGCGAATATTTTGGAATTAAAAATATTCGTATTTCATAAGAATATTCATAGAATATATTGTGCTATCTGAATATCTGGTTGGTGTATTGACTGGGAAAAAAGAACACACGAATTCAAGGCGATAGACTCGTGAGCAGTTTACCTTCTCCTGTAACATTTTCTGAACGTCATTTTGCCTCTTCAGATGCTTCGGCAGCCAAAAGCAAGCCTGAATGAGCCGAAGGAATATCCAAACCGCACCAGCGAGCGCCAAGTAGGAGCAAGCGGTAAACACCATGTTTACCATGTCTACAGTAACTTGCTGATGCTTCATCATAATGATAATTTATTCGACTTGAGTACGTCTGCAATGAACACAGTGGCACAATGGGAATCGGCAGAGAATAATTCGCGCGTGCAAATAAAACCGACCGGCGGTTCTACTCCCCCCAGACTGAAGATACCGCGGCCGATACGTTCGCGAAAAATTCGCAAAAAAACCCGGAAAAACGTTCTCCTCACGTTCGCGCCGAGGCGAACGCGGAGAATTTCGTCTTCGACGTGCCTTCCGTAACGATTCGATCGATTTGCGACTCGCTAATTTGGCAACTCCCTCGTGGAACGTATCACACCGATCGATCGATCCGCCCATCAAATAAAAATTCACGCGCAATATTTTCTCTTCTCTCGTTGATCGCATAAGGGCCTTAGCAGTATGGCTGACTTGTAATCTTAAAACAATGTTTTTATGCCTTTATATATTATTCCATATTATTTTATTTTTTTTTAATATTCTAAGAACATTTTTATAATATGCCAAAAATATGTGTAGCGGACATATAACATCGATAGAACATCATTCCTATAATATTAAAAAAATACTGCATAACATTCTTAGAATATTATAAGAGTATTATTTTAATACTGAATGACATTTATATGATATTCTTGGAATATTACGCTTATAAGGTAGGTAGATTGAGGTCATAAAATGGTCTCTTAAAATGATGAGTCAGCCGTTCCGCTGAGGCCCTTAAAGACAAAGGCTTAGGGCTTAGAAAAACATTGTCTTGAACCCATAAGTCAGCCATTCTGCTGAGGCCCTAAGTATACCATTCACGAGACAGTGGCTGCACGGTATGTGGAGGCGGTTCGACTTGGAGAGAATTACGCGTGGTGATAAGTGACCTACTGCGAGAGCACGACGTGCACCGTGCGCCTTAAACACCGACGACGTCGTCGTTAAAACGTATCCCGTGAGAAAGAGAGAAACGATCGGGACGTATTTGGGTTGATTCGTTTGACGATAACGTCGGCCGGGGAATCGCCTGCTGATGGGAACCGAGTGTTTTCGCCCCGGTGAAACCAGCAAATCGCATATCGTGAACGGCGCGCAGATATGTCATCGTGACATCCATTTATCGGTGGCTTCGCCGCGAACGGCCGGGTGTATCGATTATGTTCGTTCAATGGAGCGGAATGCGAATGTAATAATGTACACCGTGAGAAAGCTCGAAATCTCGCAGGATTTTCATGTTGTGGAGGACATTAGCAATCCGAAAGGTTGAAGGGCGCAGGTACGCTTTTATCCCGAGCATTCCTGCCGTTTTCTCCTCTTCTTCGATTTTCTTCCCCTCCAGCCGAAAATGGTGCCAGTGGCTTGTGCGGTTTCGATTGTGTGTGAATTACGTGTGTTCACATCGATATACATACGATGTCGCTTTAATTTACTCACCATATTGAGAACACGGTGTCTAATAATTGCAGATGAATGTGTCTCGGGTACTCGGAAATTATGCGCACAAAGAAGAAAACTTATTAAAAAATTCCGAACTGAAGAAAGAGAAAGTGTATGTGTGTGTGTGTATGTGTGTGTGTGTGTGTGAGCGAGTATTTGAGGTACAGAGTTTCAGAGTCATTATTGAGACGCGGTTGTTAACGCGAATTCATCGATAAAGTTAGAACGGAAATTCTCCTGCGCGGGTCGGTGTTTCTCCGATTAAGGACAAGTTTCAATCAAAAGCGGGCAGCTAATTTGTTAAGATTACAAATGTGCCGCTCGATCTTCCGAAATCGAACGCGCGCGGGAAACCAAATCTCTCGTCGGAAAGTCGGAGGATTTCATTCGTCACTCGTCTTGTTCTGTGTCTCGATGTCAGGAGCGTTTCAAACAGGCCGAGTTTGAATTACGCTGTTAAATACGCACAACAGAACGTCACGCATATTATTTTATTCACTCACCTTACTCGAGGAGCGCCGACAAGAACATAGCCGTGTGTAGGAGCGTATTCCTAAGAGATACGCGAACTACTGAATGTATCACGTCTGGAAGTAGTAGGAACTACAACGCGTCCGACTGACAGGTGGAACACTACTCCACTACTGACCCCCTATGAAAATAATCGATATACGGATGTAGCCACGTATGATTGAGCTGACATTAAACAAATACTTTGACTTGCGTGCGTGCGTGTGCGCGCATATACGCACGAAATCTCAAGTGACCAACGTGTGCGCGATCCGGGGAAAAAAATGATTATATATGATTATATATGATTATATATGATTATATATAATTATATAAAATTATGAATGAATTTTGTCCATATACGTGATTACATATGTGATCATATATGTCTCTACGAAAAAATGATGCTTTGTCATTTGATTTATTTAATGTCGACATCATGTGCTGTCAGAAGCACGAGCAGCTAGAAGCATTTATTTCGATTGTATTTGCATATAATTTGTAAAAAAAAAACGGTACTTTTTCGTTGCGAATATATATGATTATATAATCATATATATATATATATATATATATATATATATATATAGGCAAATTTCATACAGGATCTTTTTCCCCTGGATATATTCTCGGCGAAGACGAATCGCGTCGAGTTTGCCTGAGACAGAATGTTTCGGACGAATCGGAAAACAACAGAGAAACAAGTCTGCTTGAATTAGTTACGAGAATGTATACACCTTTTCCTTTTTTCCGCTTATCGTATCAATTATACATCGAATTTATTCGAAAGCGATTCGAAAGGCGACTGGACGTCACGCGAAGGATCTTTATTTGCGCTCATGCGACGGCGAGTATAAATGGCATCGTTCGTTACCTTTCGACGCGTGATCGATTAATAATGTCGCAATCGGCAAGGATTCGAGCGACAACGGACGTTCGCAATAAAAGGCACCCTGAAATATTCAAGATACGTCGCAATGACGTCTATCCATATGAAGTCGCGGCGAGCGGCGTTATTTCGAAATCGGATCAGGTGTCTCCATCTCGTGGATGTGGACGTGGACTCGCAGAGAACACGGACACGCGTCAAGAATACATAATATTTTTTTATTATTTTACAGATAACTCAATAATAAAACGTTCCACGTCCCAACTAAGGCTAAGAGTAAGTCTAAGCGCGGAGTCGACATTCGCTGATTTGTGTGTTGATTCGTTAAGTCGAGTCCCCGACGGTATTTATTTCGTTACTTTACAGGTCGCACGTTATCTTCGTACACTATCACCGTCGCAAAATCTAGAGACACCGGACGAAAAACGCAGTATTTTCGAAGAGATTATCTCGAAATAAATGATGACATATAATGTACATCAATTATTTCTCCCACTGCAGTTTTTGATCCTAATTTCGGCCTCGTTTCCACCGTTCAGTCATCCCCTCATGTCTGTTAAACCTAATTCAATATTAAGTACATTTAAAAACGTTTAANATATATATATATATATATATATATATTTAAATTATACACACACTTAAATTCTTGCTTTATGTATCAATACGCCACTCAATGGAAGGAAACAATAATACACCAATCTGCCAATGGAATATCACAGAAGTAAATTTTGTTTTCAATTTTAATGAAAAATTTAATCAGCCTCAGTTTTACACAATTCGTTCTTAGGCCAATTACACGCAGTCTGACATGGTCGGTATATGATTAAATTTCCTAAAACTCTAATCTCCCAAGTGTTTCTTTAACCTTCCCTTGTGTCTAAAAATTCAGAGTTAAAAGAGAGAGTACTCGATCTCTAAATTACTACACCTAAAGAATACATTGTGAGAGCGAATTATCGGCCGAGGAAGAATGATTCTTCGTTTCGCCGCTCTCACAGTACGAGGAAAATCTAGATCCGTGTTCCCGAGACTTTCCGACAGCAGTGTACGTCTATGCAATCGCCGGGAATCTAATTAATATAACGTAAGCTGCTCGCGCGATAAGGAGCGATGTTTTTTACTTCCTATTAAATTATCATTACTCACGCCCGCATGCTCTAAAACGGCGGCACTTTCGTACACACAGGAGGAAGAAACGGGGATTGTTTTGGAATGTGCGGTACATCACACCACAGTCGTTGAGGAGTCGAAGAGGTGCGAGAGAGAGAGAGAGAGAGGATACGAGAGAATGCGGCGACAGGGCAAAGAAGGTGAATGAAGAAGAGAACGAGGCCCGTTTTATATTTATATTGCTTCGTTTGGAATCTCGAAGGAAGTGGGGGACACTTTTGATACACATTTTCGACGGGAAGCCGACCTCTTACGTCGTTGATCTCACGTAGAACAGGAGATAGGGGGTGGCGGAATTGCGCGGATTGGGCGCCAATTTGTCCTCGAGCTCTCGCAACGGGATCACGTGCACCGCCTCGTCGTCGCACTCCAGCCAGGTAACGGCCTGCTTGTTGCGCCTGATGCCGCAACAGTCCATGCTGCGACACCCGACCTTCACCACCTGCTCCTTGTTCTCGCTCACGCTGGGCTTACTCCTAAAGTATTTGAGTATACTCGACGATGACGACTTATCGGACGTGGAAGACGACGAGTTTGTGCTCGCGCTGCCGCCCTGGCCCGGATTCGGCCGCTTGTTGTCGCGATCGCACTGGTAGTACTCCGCGTACGCGGACTCGTCCGGTAGACGCGCGTAAGCGACGTAGTGACCGGCGGTCATCGTCGCGCCCTGATGCATTATGACCGAATACAATTTGTACACGTGTCGCGTAGACTCGCCCCCGCCGCCGGTCGTTGGCCCGCGCGTCTGATCGTTGCTACACTCCTCGCAGAAACATTGCAAGGTGAGCGGCGTCGGCATGTGGTTGTTGATCTTCTCCATCGAACTGAAAGCGTACGTTCTCGGTGATGATGGCGATGCGGATTTGCGAAAAGGAGGGCTTCTCAGTCGACGATGGGATCCGGAAGTGACGTTACGTATCGGATAATTTTCTCAGGATAGATTTAACGAATTTGAAATTATACTCATCCGATATTGATTACGCTGAGAGAGAAAAAAGTGGTGGAATCGGCGAAATTTTGCTTAAACATTTTCTTTTTTTTTTTTCAAGACCAACGTTTGGTTAATTGAACAAGTTATGATTACGGTTGCTCTAACGTTATTAATTGATCCGACGATTGCGGTCAGCAGCTGCGTCATTGCGACGTATTGTTGCGCCAACGCGTAATTAGTTGGCGATATTTTTTTTTTTTTCAAGGAGGATGATCACAGATTGTGTCGGTACAATCGCTTTTTTCTTCATGTGTACGTACGATAATCACGTAGTAATCAACCTGTTGTTTCCTTGACTCTCTCGCACTTCTAATTGAGTGGATAGATACTGCGCGATTACTCACCCGGCGGCAGTGGAAAATCTCTTCAGCTGCAAAATGAGGAGCCTCGGTAAGGAGGGAAAACAGACGGCTCGGCGAGCTTCGTTATATCGTAGGCAACGTGCGCACCAATACTTGTCTCTACCCCAAAGAAGCTCACTAGTCACTACAGCACGTTTATACACTTCGCTGCTGTCCACCGAGCGGCCGTCGTCGTCTGCAAGAAGGAAAATGTTATCAGCAACAGCACGCCTTCTTGCTTTTATCTCCGGTTTGTGTGTCGCAAGAAAAACGAAAAAAAGATGTCGGAAATTGTGCCGAGAGCCAAAGACTCGACGATTGGTGGTGATACGCACCTTTCTCGTTCGAACGGTCGATGTCGATGGGTACGCATATGTCGCAGAACGTTTCTTTGCGTTCCGTGACGTATTCGCATTCCAGACACGTTGTCCGCAGCAAACTGACTCCCTCGAAGTCCTCGGAGATGAAACACCTTTTACTCTCGAGTTTGCGCGTGCCAATCTCGCCGTTGCTCTCAGCGAACTCCAAGTGGCCATTCTCGTACGGCCTCATCGCGGACGTCGTGATGCCGTTCACGCTCGGCTGACCGACAGATACCGAACTGCTTTTGGTAGTCATCTTCTTCTTTTTCCTGGACTTACGCATGCTTCTCTTGCCGGAACCACTGCTCTCCGACTGCGCGTCCGTCGACTGGTCCGTGTTGAAGTCAGGAATGCCACCGTTGCTCTGACCAAATTGGCTCTCTCTGTGTCTGACCAGTAACTGGAAGGTCTCCCTGATATTGTCGAGCAGGCAGACCAGGAGTTCGTGAGCGTCTTGCTGTTGATTTCCCTCGAATATCGGATTCACCTCCCTGTAATTAACACAATACGAATAATTCAAGTGATAAATAATGCAAAGCAATGTCAACAAATCCGTCCGCTTTTCGATAAGGACATCCGTACCTAAGAGCTTGCAAAAAGGCATCCGGCTGATAAGGCTCGCTATTCTCTCGCATCTCCGACGCCCGCAGCGCCATGAAGAGCTCGTGCAACTTTTCGGTGGCTATTTGAATGCGAGGTTTATTGGCTTCCCCTGTTGGTCCAGCTAGTGCTAATAGGTCTTTACTGCTCCAGCTACGACTGCTGCTCGACGTTAGCGACACACCAGTCCTACCTAACGAAGAGGATTTGGCCTGCAAGAAGGTAAAATTTACCTTTCAAAGTAGCAACCAAACAAACACACTGTACTCTTCCTCCAGAAAAGATCACTTATATGCTCGGTACTCACTTTTGTTTGAAGTTGTTTGTCATTTAAGTTGGACAAATCAGTAGCTAGATGATGCAAATTGTGCAGGAAGGAAGGCGCGAATCTTAAAGTATATAATACACTGTTGAGGAAGCAAGTATTCCCTAGATTGCATAGAGTGGCTATCTTCAAGCCTTCCGCGTTGCCACCACCAGACGTGTCGTAATTCCCATCCTGATGGTTGCCCAGCTGATTACGGTAGCCATTCAACATCTTGCTTGTACCTTAGTAAACAAAATAACTACGTAATCGGAATATACCTTCATTGTTCGCACACACACCATCAGAAACAATCATAAACACAGATGTAGCAAAATATTGTGTCGAGAAAACAAAATATATGTACTAAATGTAAAGTCTGGTGTATCCAGGAGGCCCCCTCTCGCAGATGAACGAGGGGGCTGCGGAGCGACGGTGATCGTACGTCCGCGGCCAGACAGGGACAAGCAGAACTTCTTTCTAGGAGGAACCGAGCGTTTATCTGCGTCTTCCTCTATTTCTAATACTGTCATCTTCTGCTAACCTAAAATCACCAGACATCTGCTACGGCTATCGGTTGAGATAAGACGAAGGTAGGAAGAGGAGGAGGGGGGATAAGCGCGAACGCACAGTCGCCCGTATATACCAGGTTTCCCTACGTGCACGAACCCATGTTTAACGTACGTTGGGAATCCTCGTCGACGTGAATTACGTCGTGACGTCTCTCTCTCTCTCTCTCTCGAGACGGTCACGCCAGTCTCGTCGAGGGTGTTCCGCGTCGTGCGAGAATATGCAAGGTGCGTTTACTTACGTATGATTGAGTGGGGAAGTCATGGAACGAACGGGGCTCGTTTGTTACAACGTCACTAAATCAAGCCCGGTTCCCTAAACGCTAAAAGCCGCGTGAGACAAGCCTAAATTGAATCCGGCGAAACTACATCTCTGGTAGAATTTCGTCGCTCGCGTACGTGACTTCGGTGCCGCCGAGGCTCGCCTCGACACTTCGACACGACACAAGCAGCGCCGATGATTTCACGCCGAGTGAAGAACGAGAGGGCTTCCCCTATAGGCGTGTTTCAGGCGTCACACGTCGTTCTCTCGCGAAGCGCCTCTGTGAGCGTTAAATACGAACTACGTGGCGCCGATGATCCGGGTGAGTCTTCTTAGCGGGTAACATCGTCGAGTGTACTACAGCTGGCGCTAAAGTTGCACCAGACGTCGTAGCATGTTTATATTTCCTCTTTACGAGGCTTGAGTACGTGGTCGGAACACGATGGTGGTCGAGGAGAAGATGGATTTCTCGAGAGAGAACGCGCTGCAGAACGACGTGACAGCGAAGGAGCCGAAAACGTATTCTTTAGAAAGTATCCTTTTGTAGTACGCAAACGTCCTGACGGAATTGACCAAGTGCCATATGTTGTTCCCTAACCTCTCGTTGTTGCACCACTCAACGGTTTGTGCTGATGTAGCTAAAATGAATGATCACCGTCTGTAGGAAATAAACGTTGGTGAATGTGTCAAACTAACAAATGCAACCGATTGACGCACAGCATTGTTCTAACATATATAGGATAGTGTCGGAATTATTGTTGTAATTTCAACCCCCCCCCCTTATTTTTTGATACCGTCGGCGACACTTAACACGTACATAGTTTTGAAAATAATAAAGGAAGCCCAGCAGCAACATGGCCTGCGGCACGGTGATTACCAACGATATCGTGGTTACTGTTCAAGAAGACTCAGGAGACTGCGGAAGGTACTGAAAGTGCCACAGGGTGACAGACGTCACTTCAAGAGGAAAGACATCACCCCTGTCATGGTCAGTGAGGACAAATTCTTGCAAGTGCCCTTGATAATGGCCGAACGTGCCTGGAGTTACGCGATGCAACTGCGCCAGGAATCTAATACGGAACCGAGGAAAAAGTTTCATCTGATATCGAGACTAAAGAAAGCAGCTGCGTATTCCTTGCAGTTACAGGATTTGATAGAGGTGTGTTATTTGTTGTTGACAGGATGGAAGGACGAAGTAGTCGAGCTTCTAACAGCTGTTCAATGAAGAAAAGCTTCTGTGTGAAATATTAAGATTCCCCAAACCGTAGATGAATATATTTAAAAATTACGAATCTCTGTTTTACAGTTTCAAAGCTTCAGAAAACTGTTTTCCGTCCAATTTTTCTGTGAATTCTTCTGATCTCTCATCTTCTTTACGAGAAAAAGTAAACGCGGCAGATTTATAATCAAACACATGAATGTTCTTAAATAAATGTTCGCACCTTTGGGAAAGAAATCGAAGAAATCCGTGGAAAAATTGGCGGAGAATCGTTTTTTCTCCAAATTTGGAAAAACAAAAAAAAAACTATAGCACACTTAATTTCCGCGTTTGCTACCGCCATGATCTATTTGGCTAGTCAAGATCACCGAAGTATAACTCTGTCCAGAAAGTGAACTGCGACGCGCGCACCAAACTGGAAGCCCAGGCGTACGTGGCTTGGATGAACGGTTCGCTGCAGTTCGAGCTGCAGCTGTGGAAACAGGCCATGGAGAACCTGAAGAAGGCTCAGGTGGTGTACGGCAACCTGGCGTCCGCGTTGCCGGAGGCGGAGCAGGTCATGTACAAGGCGCGGGTGGAGGAATTGGCGCCCAGTCTGAGGTACTGCGCGTACAACATCGGCGACACCAGCGCTATAGACGATCTCATGCAGATGCGCGGCCAGCTGAGCGGCGAGCTGATGGCCAGCCTGGACTCCCTGATCGCGCAGACGCGCGAGAAGCAGGCCAGCACGGAGGAGGTAACGTGGCGCGGCAAGTCGTGCGGGACCGTTCCGCCGAGGGCGGCCGGCTTGATCATCGCGGACTCCAGGCTGAATCAAGCGCTGGAGAAAGCCGCGACCAATCAGGCGAAGATCGACCTGCTGGAAGCGCATCTGATCGACTGCAAGGACGCGCTGTTGGCGGTGCGCGATCACTTCAAGAACGAGCTGAAGAGCCGTTGCGAGAGCAACGACAAGTGGTCGGCGCCGCAGCATCTGATCAATTATCTGCAGTACATCCGGCTGTCGCGCACGCTGGAGCGCAACCTGGCGCTGGTCAGCGCGGCGGAGGAGTCCGAGAAGGCGAAGCCGCAGGATATCGTGCGGCTGTACGAGGCCGCTCTGCATAACCTCGTGGAGATCTCCCAGCTGCAGGAGGACGCGGACTTCTTGGAGGAGCAGACCGCGAAGACGAAGGGCTACCGGGCCTTCCGCTGCTACTACATAGCCCAGTCGCTCGCCAATCTTCACCGTTGGCGCGAAGCTATGGCGCTCTATCAGAGATCGCTGCAGCATGTGAGAGACGCGCTCAAGTACAGCCAGATCCTGCCGGACGCCTTGAGGGCGGCCCTGTGCAAGCTGGAGGCCTCCGTGGAGGCCGCCCAGTACGCCGCCCACGCTCACAGCGTTCTCGAGGATCACGAGGAGGAGGGTGGCACGAGCAAGCACGCCAAGAGCAAGAAGCCCATGTACGAGCGCTTGCACGAGTACAGGGAGGACCCGGCGCTTCTCACCAAGCAGCCGAACGTCTACAAACTGCCGCCGCCGATGCGCAGCATCCCCTGCAAGCCCCTGTTCTTCGACCTGGCCTTCAACATGGTCGAGTTCCCCGATCTGTCGCACAAAATGGGCGATCAGGCCAAGAGGGGCCAGGCCGGCTTCGTCAGCGGCTTCGTCAAGGGTCTCTGGGGTTGGGGGAACAAATAAATATCGTTTCGCGCGCGATTCAAGGGTCGACAGGTTCTTGGACGCACGTAGACAGTACAACGCGGTGTATCGTTTTATATGCCGTGTTCCTCTCTTTTTACGACAAGCCGGGCGCCGGAGCACTGTACCTCCGGTGTATACGTATAAATGGGATTTGCACTGTAACAATATTGCCGGGGATGAAAATAAAACGGAATACTTGCTGTACAGATCGTCCGTCCTGGTCTACCCTCCTCTCCTGTATTCCGTGTGTACGCATCCTCTCACGCAGCTGCTTCACACGTAAATATATCGTTTATTCTTTCTTCTTCTTTACAATTGTACGCTGTAGTATAAAAGCAGGTGTTCCCTAGTATATACAGTTATCGGTAAATACGCTCGAAAACTAGCGGTGACACCACACACGAGAGACGAATAATAATACACCGTGCACACTCAACTGCGAAACAGCAGCAAACGCCGTGTTCTTAAGCTTCCTTGCTCTTGGTGAGCTCTTCGACCAACTTCCTGAACACCTGCGCGACTTGACTATCGGGTAACGTTACCAGCACGCTTTGTCCTTTATCCGCCAGCTTGTCGATCTGCGGATCTATAGGCACTTTCGCCAGAAACGGGACCTTCACCATGTCCGAGAGGGCTATGCCGCCGCCCGAGGAGAATATGTTGGTACACTCCTGCGAGTGAGGAATTTACGAGGCTGTATTGTGCGAGAACTTGCAGCTAATACGATGCACAGGGTGTCCCAAAGAAATGTACACACACTTCAACGATACTTGACGTTTTGCGATTCCACTCGCTTCGCGGTACCTGGACCGGAACGATCATCGGTTTGAGAACCGGCGTAGATAAAAAAATTCATTTCTGTCGATTCTTTTGAATTTTGCAAATGAACTGTATGTCAATGAACGTTGACTTTACAACTATTCAAAATATGTATACATTTTCTCAGGGTGCCCTTTATTAATCCGTAACTAATGAAAGAGGGATGCTCACTGTACACGACGGACAGACGAAGCCACTCATGTTTTCGATGATACCGATTATGTTGATCCCGGTTTTCCTGCAGAACGTCACTTCTCGCAGCACGTCGTCCACCGCAACCGCTTGCGGAGTGGTCACTATAATCGCACCGTCGCACTTTGTGTTTCTGAAAAGGTTTCAAGGCAACATGTTTAATCACAACACAGCTGTTAACACTGTTGCCTGTTCTTTAAACGATCAGATATGGAAGATGAACCAAGCGTTTAACTTAACATACTTTAGGTTCTCCATGACTGTAATGTGCTCGTCGGAGGTCCCAGGTGGTGTGTCGATGATCAAGTAATCGATATCCCGCCATACCACATCCATCAGAAACTGTTTGATCATACCAGTCTTCTTAGGCCCACGCCAGACTATACTGTCATTCTGACTCTTCAAGAGGAAACCAATCGACATGACAGCCAGTTTCTCCTCCGCATCAGCGAATACCGGTACCCATCTGTGTCCAATTAATCCCAGAATTTCCAAGTGATTTGGTAACAAACCATCGCTTATTAACAATAAGTCATCATAACGACGACAGGACATACCCTTCAGAAGACTGGTGAACATCCTTTTCTTCCAAGTTCAGCAAGTAAGGAACACTAGGCCCACAAAGATCAACATCCAGGATCCCTACCTACAATAATTTACACAATTCGTGTTTCCAATTTTACTCTCGAGAATACAGTAAATTATGTAACATTCTGAAGAATGTAATTAAGAATATATGTGTCGTGTAATATTAACCAAGAGCCATTGAAATTTAGAAAAGAGAAATATATCTTTTATGAAACCTGAAATATACATTGAAGGAAACGAATTTAAATCATCACAAAGTTAAAGTATCGCACATTGGTATGCACAATTCCAGTATCTATATAATGTCCACCTACATACATCTTCGAGTGCATCGATAGATTAACAGCTGGAGAAAAGTTTTCATTAAAGTTTGCTGATAAGTTATCTGGGAGCACAAGAGTGATAGTGAGTGATTCTCGGAGCTAATCGCGTAACAACATCAAAACATACTCACTCGAAAGCCGGATTCCTTCAATGCGAGGGCCAGCTGAGTGCTGATCGTCGATTTGCCGACACCGCCTTTCCCCGAAAGGACCAACAATACGTGTTTCACGTCCTCCAACATCGTGCAAATCAATGACAAATCAATTGGGAGATCGCAACCAACAATTAGACACGCGACGCACGACACGGGATCGTTGAACAATGTTGCGACAGCTGAAGCTCGCCCGGACGAACAATAGTATATGCGAGGTCACGTATACTTTTCACATAACCGACCAATAATCAATCGCACTTGACCATGCGTAGTTACATAAAGCTCAAATGGCAAACGGCATTCTCAGAGCGTGGTACTTTGCGTTTTGGGACTGTAAACATAACCTCCAAAAAACATGACGTTTTACACGTAACGAAATCAACGGCGGCATCTATCATTAAACTTCGTAATTACATCGTGTATTACTGTCTTCCCTTCGATAAATAGTAAAAGTTGAAGTGTTTTCTAATGAAAAGTTTGTTTCACAAAAGATACATGGGGGAATTCGCGGTAGAGCTTTTTTTTTTTAACATCTTTGAGAGAATTTCGATTTGGTATCTCGATTAATATTTTCCCCCTGAGATTCCACGAGATTTAATTACAAGATCTTCGAAAGACTCGGTTGCACGTACATCCGATCTAAGATTATTTTGCTTAACATTTACACAGAGTTCTCAAAATCTTATCCTTCAACTTTCCGTCGGAGGAAAGAAGATGAACCTCGTAATTGATTCCACATTCGAAATAGATTACTGAACGTTCCAACACGCGTATTGTACGTATTTAAAAAGCAGGTACGTTTTACGAATCCGAAGCGTCGCGAAGCTCGTCGCAGCGTTCGCAGTGATCGAACCTGGAGGATCGGCCTCGTTGCAGTGTAACTTCTCGAACGACAGGTTGCCGCGCTAGACGCGGTTCGCTCGCAGTCTCGCGGTTTCGCTTACAAGTGCGAGACTCGCAAGATCGCGCCGGGAACGCCTCTATTGATCTAATTCTAAATTAAATGGGCCTAAGTAACTATCGATATTTCATTACCATCACATCTTTCGCATTATCGATGGAGAAGTTTACAATAACAATGAGTTATTCATAAATATTTGTTTTTTTTTTTCATTTAACTGAGAAGCTATATGAAAATACAAAGTTTCTACACTAAATGAAAATGACAGAAAAAAAATGGAAAATACGAAGGGCTGAATGTCAAAACGTGAAACTATTAAACTTATTTATATATATATATATTTTTTTTTTAATTCTAGCTAACCTAATCTTTTCGTTATTCGCGAAAATTTCCAGATGAATTTGACAAATTAAATGCACGAAAAAGTCTCAGTGAACAACCGAAGTGAGAAATCGGACGGGACATCGCGTCACCGGCGTGAAGTTGCCCGCCGGCGCAGCAACGGTCTGAAGGCGGCCGCGGTACGCGTCAGAGCCGCGTCAGCGCCGGCGGGCGCCCGCTTGGCAGCGGTTGGTTGACCGCGCGCTCCCCAGAGCGCGCGCAGTGCTGCGCGGAGTGTCGCTGGTCGATCTGTTCGCGCGGCGCGTCGCGTCAGCCACCTGGTTCACCGTCGCCGAGCGCTGTCGCCGCCGTCGTTGCTCTGTCGTCATTGTCCGCGTGTTGTCCACCGTCGACGGCACGACCCCCGGCCGTTAAACGCATCCTCCGCAAGCCTGCGCGCGCCCACCACGTCGCCCACCGCCATGGACGTTCTGCAGAGCGTCTCCCAAGAAGCGATCTTCGTTAGCATCGTGATCGCCTACGTCATTCTCGTGTTTGTCTTCGGCTTCAAGAACGCCGAGCAACCACCGTTCGCGAAGCTCTCCGCGGGCTCCGTCGTGAACCGGAAGCTCCCTAAGAAGCGCGTCAAGGTTAGTGAAGTGTCAGCAGGGAGAAAGGTTGAACACACGCGTCTCTCTCTCGCTCTTTCACCCGCGCGTACTTTATCTCTCTCTCTCTCACTCTTTCCGCGCCCTTTTCCCTGTTCCGACACGTCGCGATCGCCCGCCATATGGTGGCTCATTTGTGCGCGCTCGTCTATGCACACGCACACACGTTCGCTAATCAGCTGGTCCAAGTCTGCTTCGAGAGGGTGTCTGCTTTCCTTCCCTTCGCGATGGCCATGACGTAATGCTGCGACACGGTATTTGTTTTCCCTGTCAGCGTGGCTCTCGCGGCATACTCTCGTGTTCTCGTGATTGCGGCCCGCCTGGACTTGGCGGATTCAACGACGAATGATCTTCTTCGGCACCTTCTACACTCGTTTCTTGCTTCTTCTTTTCTTCTTCTGTGAACTCCTGATACCTTTCGCCGCTGTTACAGCCTCACAGAGTGTAGTGAAACTATTATTTTTCACTATAAGCTAATAAGACTTGGAATTAGGCCATATTTCATCTCCAATGTGCAATGAGAAGATGTAACCTGAGGGATTACACCAGATCAGTGGTGTTAAGAATTCCTTCAGGGATTTCTTATAAAAAAATTAAAACAACGAAATAGTTTACGAAAATGATTAATATATATAAAAAAATGTTGAAGTATATTGAGATATTTATCCGATTATTTTTCCGAGAAATACAAATTATTTACTGTATGGGATCGTATGGTGAGAGTGAAAGAAAGGTCTCAGGAAGATCCTCTAATTTAACTTTATATAAACAATAGGAATACAATGTGTAATTTATAGATTTCACTCAACATTTCTTGCTCGAAAAAATGTGTTGTTACTTTACTGTTGGATGATATAATTACAAATCAAATGACTCGTATGTTTCATCACAGAAAGCCGCTAATGGACAGGTCGCGACTGAGAAAACAAGTCCGGCTAAGAAAACTTCTGTCGCGAAGGCAGAAGCTCCGAAGAAAACCACCGTTGCAAAAGGAGACGACATTGACGGGAAGTTAGTGGAGCGTAAGCAAGAGGATAACAAGGCTGCGACAACTAAAAAGGAGAAGGAGCCGAACTCGGTTGGCAAGGCTGGCAAGGAGAACAAGACGGAGCAGGTGAAGAACAAGAAGAATCTGAAGAACTTGTTCCAAGAGAGACCAGCGGACTTCGACGATGGTTGGTTGTTTTACACGTGTACCGTTTGGCGGGTTTGGATTGCGCACATAGTCATTAATCTCTTGGGTTGTGATTCGCATCGAAATGTATTGCTGATTGGACAGCAATTCATCGAAAATTGGACTCACAATTCAAACCCGAATCGGAAACTTTAATAATTATATCTCTTTGATATCTTGCCTCTCGTTAATCGGTTTTGCGACAGTTTGTCGATTAGAAGCCTCGTTAAATAACCACGAAGCAAATTCTGTCTCATATTCACTTTTGTTTTAGTTTTGCATTCTCCTCTTTTTTTCCTTTTCTTATTTTCTTGCCGTGTCATAGTAGGAAAATTTTCTGGGTGCCACACTTAATCGCTCGCGTGTTCACCGATAATTAACAAGAGAAAGGAAGGGGAATGAAGGCTAGGTTGCATCACTTTTCATTTTAATTGGTAATGTTATTATTTGTTGTCTATTTCTCTTTTCCGCCGGTTACACTACAACTCATTGAATACCATATGTATCGAGGTTTTACCGTATTAGCATAAATAAATCAGATTTGTCTTCTGCGATTCTTTGTATTGTATACGTTTCCTTGTACTGTTATCTATTGGTGCTAATATTATTATTATTATCAACAGGAGACTGGGAACAAGCCTACTCGCGCAAAGACAAGAAGAATAAGAAGAAGGAGGAGGAGACTCCATCGAAGAAGAGCAAGAAGACCCCTAAGAAGGCTGATTTGATAAATGAAGCTAAGCAGAAAGAACAAGAGAAGCTTGAAATCAAGGATCTCAAGGAGAATGAGAACATGGAACTCAAGGAGAAGGACGTGATCCTTACATCTATCTCCGACGAGGAGATAGGCAAAGAGGAGGAACTGCAGAAGGAAGAGCAAGACAAGGTACACTTATATTTAATAGAATTCCAGTGTTTAGGAATTTCTTAGTTTACGATTGTAATGTAAATAAAATATCGAACGTTATACGTGGTAGATCGAGCAGGCCGAGAAAGCCGAAAAGACCGAGAAGACCGAGAAAGTCGAGAAAGAAGAGAAGAAAACCGCAAAGTCAAAGAAGAACAAGAAAGTATCCGATGATGAGAATACCTCCGCCTCGGTGCCGAGCACACCGAAATCGGACAATAAGTCTGCCGTGGAGGAGGAGGAGGAGGAGGAAGAAGAGGAGGAGGAGGAGGAGGAGCCGCCGCCGAAAAAACTCGTTAACAATGCGGAAAAAGTGACGGAAAACAATGCGGAGGAAAATAAGGCGGCGCAAGAGAAAACCGCCGTGTTCGACGAGTTAGGAGGTAATTCCGTGTTTAACATATTCAAAATCAGAAGTAGCCGTTTTTCCCCGAGGTTGCTCAATGGCGCGCTTGTCTGTGTCTTCCAGACGTCTGGACAGAAGCGAAGCCGCAGAAGAAGAGCAAAAAGAAGGCTCGCAAGGATAATTGAGGATGATCGCCTGTAACACCAACGGACGTTGTTCCTTGCGAAGAGCAACAGAGTGAGAATCCTACTCGGTCCAAAGGACGTTTGTCGCTTTCGACAAGTCAGGTGTGTTTCAAGTGACTTACTCTAATCGACCACCTGATTGAATCGTTCCTTCCTGCCCCCCCCCCCCCNCCCCCTTCCTTGTACATAACGCCAATTGGACTAGGTTGTTGTTCGATCAATCTATTTCTTAGTTATCCTCGTGGCTTCGTTCGTAACGCGAGAGAAGTGAGTAGGCACGTAGGATCGGACACTCTTTTATATGATTTTATCATTCTCCCTTAGTACGTCAGTCAGCTGCCTTGCATTTAACGAGAGAGAGAGAGAGAGAGAAAGAGAGAGAGAGAGAGAGAGAGAGAGAGAGTGGCGTGAGTCACATCGTGGTTCTCGATAACGGATTATTCTTGTAAACGTATACACACATATATATATATATATATATAAATTACGTTTCTTAGGCACCTTTTTACACACACATGTCCATAATAGCGTTATTATTATTATGTCACTTGTATAATTATAGTTCAGGGTGGATCTGTATTTAGGAGGAAATCTTTCGTAACAGTTAGGAATGGTACTTATATGCCATTTACGTTCTTCTTATCTCCTTTATTTTTCTTTGTTTATTTTTGTTGAGTAATCTTGTAAGGAATATATACTTTGTACAGTCGTAAGATACAGATTCTCTTTACGTTAAGTAATAAGTATAACACGTGGAGCGATTTCGTGCGCATTTGTCATCGTTGTTACTTAAACAATCAGTTTTAGTCGGCTCACATCGGTACTTCACGTCGCATTCGTGTGCGTATCGAACGATTGACGGCCAAAACTCCGAAAGTACATCGTGTCTCAGAGAGAGAGAGAGAGAGAGGGAGAGAGAGAGAGTGATATTTATAACGTAGGACAATCCCCCGAGAATGGTGAACGCTATATTGCTGATGTACATAGTCGCTTCCTGATGTGAAATGTCATATTTTTCTACGTGTAATTAGTAGACCACAGCGACGAATTATTTTCTGCTTTGAACGCGCGCTCGATAACGATCAACGCCTCGAGTACATCAGTAATATAAGTTTCTCGCGCGGAGCGGATAAACATCGCGCGAACCGACGACCAGGCCTCGTTAAGACACGCGACATCGACGAGGTGGTGCAAGTCACCGCGACAAATGTGATAACGACGTTTGAATGAACCAAGGTAGGTCCCGATCTGTGATGCCGATGCACACTCGGGATATGTGTATATTTTTGCGCCCGTGGCGATTGCGATCAGGAAAACGATCACGACGGTTCTCGTGTTCATCATTAATTAGGACTATCGATTCGAACGTCCTCGATTTGTACGTTCTCAAGACAGCTTTTGGCGTTCGCCCACGATCGAGAGAGGTAAGGGCAACGTTTCTACAAAATGCCGCGCGAAAGAGAGATGCGACATGACCACGGGCGCAGCAATATGGACGTTGTAATTTAAGAGACGAGAATTATAAGAGATGTATCCTCCGATAAATCACGATTATCCTACGAACAACGATTCGTTAGGTTTAACGTTGACGCCGTTGTACCGTGACTGTCTGTGAGGAGAAGAAATTTAGTGACAGTTAGAGGGATTCGTTCGATGAGAATTGAACGGGTGAAGATATCCTGATATTTTCGCAACGATATGCGTAGGAAAAACATCACTGATTTCTTGTTAAGTTTTCCACGACGAGATATGTATTTTCGTTCTATCATATTGTTGATGGTGACACAACTGACGATTTTACGCTCGCGAGCGTGACTGAGTGCTGGACACGTTGGCTATCGCATACAACAATCGTTCGAATCGCCAATATATATACATCCACACATATATACACACCTTCGACCACGTTCTCACGGTCACAGGCTATGGTCAAGTCAAGGAAAATATTATTGTGATAATGATTAAACCTACAACAATTACAGTGAAAACAATAGATCTCGTAATTTCAGTTTCCGTTTCGCGTACGACTACAGAGGCGAAAAAGAGAGAAACGAGAGAGGACGATTGAAGTTATATTTTTATATATAACTTGTTGTGTACGACTGAATTTTACGACACACACACACACATACACGATTACGCCGGACATTATTTTACAGACTGCTCTCTTAGACACTTTGCTAACCGAGCCGATCAAATCTGCGGAAAAGGAAATAAAAACTATACGCCTGCGAGAGTCTTTACGATACGTTGTCATAAGCAATTCAGCCGGTGCATTTCTCATGCCGTCTAGACAGATGGCGTATCGATTTTTTAAGCATGCGTTACAAGTGAGGATCTACGAGAGGGGATCTTGTGTATCACAGACACGTATATTTTACGTGACAAAACGCTGCGAAAAAGTGTCGCATATACGGGGATATTGGAGATAATCGAAATTATACGTTTCCGTCAGAATGTCGTAGTTTATATTTTGTCACGGAAAGACAGATGGGGAGAAACACAAAGAGAGAAATTAAAGTTAAAAACATAGAAGAGAGAGAAAAAAAAACAAGAATTATATTCATGAGAGCGATTAGACGCGAGTGAACAGATTATACTGTCGTTGTAGAATATACGTTTTGACAACGCTCAATCTAAATACTTTACGCACTAAAAGCTATATATTATATATTTGTTAACGTGTATAAATATTACTGTATCGATAATTTTAAATAAGGAAACGAAGAAGAATTTTAAGCAAGGAAGAGAAAATATGAGAAAGAGAGAGAGAGAGAGAGAACAGGAAAGAGAGCAAGCGAATGAGTGGGAAAGAGTGAGATCACCTGAGATGTATGACAATATTGTGATAAGCGTACTGTATACCTGAGCATTACTTGAATGTTGCAAACGAACGCTAAATCACTCTTTAGCTTCTATGTGCGGAGGGTAATCTTGGAAAAGTACCTATCCTGTTCGAATAGCTATTCATATTTTGTATATTGAACCTTAAGTGTATTTACACGCAACATACACATACACAACAAATACACACATGTATATACATATATACATACACTCAACAAGATCACCGTGTACAAGACGAAGCTCTGGCGTTACACACACTGTCGCGGTGATCCGCATTGCGCGTCTTGTGAAATTGCGAGAAAGAAGGAGAGGGAAAAAGAGAAAGAAGTTTACATATAAATCATACCGAGAGCGAGCTTGAATTACACAAGCCCGCAAAATTGAATCGCTTCTGTCGACCGTATGTGTGTATCGTTCGCGTGCCAAAAAAAGCATCGTCTCTTCGGAACCACGTGCGAGGCTGAATTTCGTACAATAACTCGCGTATACCGCGAAAAGCGAGACAGGGAAGTAATAATATAAAGCGTGAGAAAGAGAGATATATATAACGACGCTATTTATGGCCATCCCGCATGTTCAGGTCTTTCAATGATCGATAGTCGCAAGACTGCGTGGAAAATTTCCTCCCGTCGGCGCGCAACGCTTCATTCTTCTACGCGGCAATTGATGGCTGGTATTATTCGTAATCACCGGGGAACGTCAATTCACTGGTAGTTAACGCTTATCGAGCGATTACCTGAATAGCTAACCGAATAGCTAGTTTAATTTGCGCGATAGAGAGCCGCGATTTTTGCCGTCTGTCGTACTTGTTCTCCTCGAACCTGCGCAACGTTATTCCCCGAGCGCTCGCTTGTGCGCGTCGAGAGACGGAATACGTAAAGGCGGTTTCGCGTAGGTCAAGATATTGCGAGCAGTATCGAATTGTGAGATCAAAGCAAAATCTCCAAACTTCGTGTATTTTTTTTTTGCGCATTTATTTCATTGGGGTCCGATTTCCGATATCCGATTGGGGGACTGATGACTCACGTGGCATGTTGAAAGTCGCCCGGTAATAGAAGAGTTCTCGGACGTTCGATCAAACAGGATGCGATCGCGTGAATTTTTCCCGGGATATCCATCGGCGACACACAGTGTCGCAAACGACTCGATACCGCTCGCAATGCTGACGGGACTATCCGATCGATTGGTCTTCGTCGGGCCAGTTAGCGGAGTACTTAACGCGGGGAAGAGAAAGAGGAGATCGGAAGCTAAAAAGGAACGTAATCCGGGGGGGAGGGGGCACGAGAGTAGCCGGCGTATTTTTCTAAAAAGAGTGCCGTTCTCTAAGCCGCGTCCACGTCGCGGATGCACGTGGCGGAGCGACGAGCGTGGCCACGCGTGTCCGGCGAACACGTGGTGCCTTCGTGATCCCGTCTCGTGGACGCTCGTCGTCGCTCGTCTCTCCGCCGAGGTCCTCTTCGAGAGAGGAGAGCACGACGATCGCGCCTAGGAAAGGAGAGCGGCGAGATTTTCCCCGGGCGGGGAAATCGACCGGGAAGCGAGGGACGTAAAGAAGGCGAACTGACTATGATCGAGCAAGTATTATTGCCACGTTGTACATATGTATGTTTTAACGCGCGCGAGCGGTGTGTTCCCCTTTATCAAATTTGTATGTGCAATTGCGTTTCACGGTTCACACACCGGTGAGAAGAGGAGGCCTCCGCAGCGACGGAGGTCGTCCAGTGAGTCGATCGCATTTCGCAGAGATATTTCCAAGGAATCGATCAGCGTCCGAGCGAAGTTACATAGATATACATAAATACGTATGCACGCGTCGTACACACGAGCGGGCTCATTCTGAAAGTGCAAGGCGAGTCGTTCAAACTTCGCGAAATCTTCCCCGACCGCGAATTTGATCGATACGTTTCCTCCGCTTTCAAAATGCACGACATCGGCATTAATCGCCGACATACACCGCGATGACCCGTGGCGCGCCCACGCGCAGTCTCCGTTTAGAACCGATTAACGACGCACACGGTGCCGGTTCTCACCGGTTGGCGTTTCGTTGACTTCTCCTTCGATCTGCACGTCGAAATAACGAGACGAGCGCGACTCACGACGGCCTACTTCGACGCCGCGACTCGATGCGGCTCTTGGCTTCACGACCGCACGTCGCGCATGAGGACTCTGATCGTATTCGAAATATCGAAATATCGACTGTAACGTAGAGATAAGATAAAAAAGAGAGGGAGAGAGAGAGAGAGAAAGAGGAAGATAAATTGCGACACGCGTGACAGTGTCGAGATAGAATATATATTATGACATATAGAGTTACACACGCGTAATTTATTTTATTCACCGACGGCTTGTCGCGACCACGACATAGCGTGTGACAAATTAATTAATTAAAAAAAAATTCACTATATATATATATATAATACATATATTATATACATATATGATGTATACCTACGTAGTGTAAAATGCGTGTATATCTCGATTAACTTAAATCTTATCGTTAGTTTATGCGAGCGTTAACGCGCGAACCGAGAGAAGGAGAGAGAGAAAGAGAGAGAGAGAGAGAGAGAGAGACAAAGGAGTAAGAGGAGGAGGAGGAGATATGCAATTGACGAGAAATATTCTGTTTTCGCAAATCGCGCGAACGATATTACTATTAACACACGGTTTTTCACGGGAAATTAGCGGCCGCGCGATATATATTATTCGAGATATATTCTATATTTGTGAAGAATGTAAGAGAGAGAAAGAGAGAGTTATATATATACATACATGCATATATATATACGTAAATATATATTTTCGCACTCTTATCTCGCACAGAGACGGTGACAGAACATTTCTCGCAACCGCGAAAATGCTTTTCGGTTGTGATATTTATGGAGGAAGATATGAGAAATAAATGTGCGAACACACACACACACACACACGCGGTGGAAACGAGTCTTAAGAGGCGGAAAAAGACAAGGGGAGAGAAAGAGAAATAAAGGAGAGAAAAGAGAGAGAGAGAGAGAGAGAGAGAGAGAGAGAGACAAACTGAATAAAAGTTATATTTTTCCAGCATTTAATTGGGAGCATTCACTGCGCCTGTCCGATATTCCATCGCGTCGATTTGTACATACATTTGTATATTTATCCGGCGTGTTCTGTTGTTTGGGAGCGATGTATTATATTTTTTTTTGCGCAAAACGCTTCACAGATAAGAGAGTATTAACGCTTGTCGTGTCGAGGGACCACAGAATATATATATATATATATATATATATA